GTCTACCCATACGGATTACCTAAATTTGCATAAACTATATATATATATATATATATATATATATATATATATATATATATATATATATATATATTTTATTACCTAAATTTGCATAAACTATATATATATATATATATATATATAGTTTATGCAAATACACTGACAATGATTACAAACAAAACTTTAAATTTTCAACAATTCATTTCATACCTAAATTTGCATAAACTATATATATATATATATATATATATATATATATATATATATATATATATATATATATATATATATAGTTTATGCAAATTTAAATAATCCGTATGGGTAGACCTGAGGAGGATGATATCAGAGAGCTCAATGTAAAATTCAGAGCAGATATGTTTTAATTTTTTTATATATATATATATACTCTTTCAGTCCTGTTTATATATATATATATATATATATATATATATATATATATATATATATATATATATTACTTTTCAGTCCTGTTTATATATATATATATATATATATATTACTCTTTCAGTCCTGTTTATATATATATATATATATATATATATATATATATATATATATATATATATATTTTCACCTCTTATATATATATATTTCAGTCCTGTTTATATATATATATATATATATATATATATATATATATATATATTCTTTCAGTCCTGTTTATATATATATATATATATATATATATATATATATATTACTCTTTTCAGTCCTGTTTATATATATATATATATATATATATATATATATATATATATATATTACTCTTTCAGTCCTGTTTATATATATATATATATATATATATATATATATATATATATATATATATATATATATTTACTCTTTCAGTCCTGTAATTATGAGTTTAGCTAATGTAAAACTTTTTCTCTGTTATTGTATTTTTGTATTTCAACTACAATTTACAACATATGTTTATGCAACAAATTTATTATAATTCTTCATTTCAATGAATAATTATGTCATCAGTCTAACTCTCGATTTAAATGTATATTTTTTCAGCAGTACGACAATATTTTGCATAAATGTGACACTATAAATATTAGGGTATATAAACACCTCAAAGGACTGTCCATTTTCGGAAATCCAAGGGGGTTAACGCATAGTTAAACACAAGGAATTCCCATTATTGGATGCTCTTAAAAGTGAAGTTTTATCAATGAAAATGTAATTAAAAACCTATTTCCATCTGTAAATAGATATCAAAAATTGATGAACTAGAATTAAAATAAAAAAAACCCTCAAAAACGTATTAATTCATTAAGTTCCACCGTCCTATTAAGTAAGCATTAATATAATTATAATTATTATAATTATTATCATTATAATTATAATTAGAAAACTCTCAATTACTTGGTAGAATAATGTCAAGAGTTCCGCGCCCAAATTAATAAATGTTTTTTTTTCCCAGAAACTAATATTTTATACCAGAATTTTTTATTTTAATTTTTTAGGCTTATGCTGAAATTTACGGTGAGCATTAATGGGTAAAATATTAAAAAAAAAAATAATTATAAAGTACGATAGAAAGTGGGAGAATGTGTCTTCGACCCGAAAGTGCTTATGTATAGATATTTTTAAGCAATTTACCCCAAGTAACGTCATAATGCCACTAAGTTGTAAAGGGCTACTGGGAATAACAGAGAAAAGGAAACTTTAAGAGAAACCTGAAACCCTGTGCTGAACAGGAGATAAGGGATAAAAATCTACTCCTGTTCAAAAGAGCTGGGAGGAGTGTAAACCGGACGATAAATAAGACACGTGTTGCTTTTATTCTCTGATAAAATCGCGAAAATAAAATAAAAAAGAACATAAATGATTTAAATTTTGTTGAAACGTCATTGTAAATTTCTGTCGCTCAAATATAGTTTTGTTAATATTTTTTCTATAACTTTGACCTTAAGAGGCCGAACATATTTTCTCATTATTTATACACATTTGAAAAAAAAAAATCTTGGTGATAATTTATGGCATTTAGGATGGAAAAATACATGGAAAAATCATTCTAAAAATACTTCAAGGTATAATGTAAAAAAAAAAACCCAAATCAAAACAATACAAAAACCGCAATATTAGGTAATTACTCCCCACCTCTCACGTTTTTTTGACGTGGGAACTCAATAAATATGTGAGAGGTCAAGGACGCATTGCTCACCTCCGTCGTCACAAGCCTTAGGCATAAGGAATTGACCTTGACATGAGCCCCATTTAGTGAGGAGATGTTGAAAGTAGTGAAGGACTCATGGAATTGAGATGGAACCCCAGCCACGAATGGCTCAAAGCGATTCCTTAGAAGAACACGCCATAATCAATGTTTTCTTACTTTTATCACGATCCTACCCACATGCTCGTTATACACAAGAGTTTGATAGAATTCCACCTTGAAGGATTAGATATAGTCTACCGAGAGAAAAGAAACTTACAGAAAACTGAATTAAATTTGCTAATTATTTAAGTATTCGTTTTTTTGCGAAGCATTTTTAATAAAATTATATTATTTAATTATATATACACTTATTACATACATACATGAATATATATATATATATATATATATATATATATATATATTATGCAGTGTTACATTAGAACATGTACATACCCACTACAAAACCGTACATCTTGTTTCAACGTTAAAAATTAACGTTTCTTCAGGTGGGAAATCATGATGCTACTACTAGAAGTATCGTGATTTCTCACCTGAAGAAATGTTAATTTGTTAATTTATTTATTTATTTGGATTAATTTTTATTTGTTTTTTATTTATTTACTTATTTTTTATTTTGTATATTTTTATTTACTCTATTTTGTTTTCGATTTGTGAGCAACGTAGTAATGTTTTTTAAATAAATGAATAAATAAATGAACAAATTAGCACCAAATAAATAAATTAGTAAAGAAATTAACAAATCGCCACCGCTAAAATAACCGTTAGAACTAATAAAATAAGCATGAATAAGCAAAAACAAAATAATCAATCCAAATAAATTAAAAACTATCCCTCGCTAAAATAACAGAATAAACTACGGCAAGCAATCTAAAGATTGGACGAATAAATAGTTTTAATTATCTTCCCAGACCAAAACAAACTATTAAATAAGCGAGCTAAGCAAATCCCCACCACCCAAACATTTTACTACGTTAACGAAAAATCAAAAACTGAAAAGAATAAATAATACAAAATGAAAAACAACGAAGAAAAAAAAAAGCGGAAGACGTTAAATTTATAAACGCTTCTTATTTGTTCCGATCCATATTTGATCCCAATTCATAAATCTCTCTCTCTCTCTCTCTATATATATATATATATATATATATATATATATATATATATATAAGTGTGTGTGCGCGTATGTGTGTGTGTATATATCGCTCCCACTATCAAACTCATCTTATTCAACAGTGGGAATGGTGTATTGAAAGTTTAAAAATAGAGAAAGAAATTCACTCGAATTCTAATCGCGATCAACACGCGAAGGCTCGGAATAAACGCTCCTACTAGTATTCAAAACAACACAAGAACACTTCGTAAACAGTAAAACATGAAGAGAAATTATCCACAGCCAAAAAAAAAAAAAAAAAAACTCCCTTGAAAATGGCTAAAGAAGTGGCTTGAAGGGCTTGGTACAATGGACAATACAGACAATTTTTGCTCTCCCTTACCAAACAGGAAAATGCAAGAAAGATGGAAAAACTAAATAAAAAAAACTAACTGTAACCTTTCTTGTCATATTCAACAAACTATATTTAAAAGAAAGGTTGCTGTCCAAATATAACTTGATTTCTCTCTCTTTAAATTTCTAAAGAAGTAATGGACATTTATTTATTAATCCGACATATTTTTTATTACTTTAAACGTTATCTGAGTAGATGCTTATTTTATTTTTAAACAACATTTTATTTCATCTGCCGGAAGTTGCATTTCTTCTCTAATAAGATTTCTCAAAAGTTCAGACCGTTAGACGAAATAAAATATTTCTTCAAAAAAATAAACAAAGTGTCTATTCAAATATGGCTAATATTCTACAAATACAGCTTTAAGTAATATATATATATATATATATATATATATATATATATATATATATATATATATATATATATCAAACAATGTTAGGAGAATTAATAACATTTGGGGAAAAATTAACTTGTCTTTTAGGACCTCATCACTTTAGTTCAATGAAGTCCTAAAGTTCAAAACGCGTCAAATATAATAATTTCATTGTTTTTCCTGTTTCTGCCAAAGAATGGATGATAGCCAGAGGGTATTTGGCCGAAACGTCGTCTCTCTAATAACATCTATATAAACGAAGAATTGATATTGTATACTGATAATTCTGTCTACATTTCTAATAGGTATTGTGTACACTATTTACATTATTCGGACTATTGTCCTCACTTTTGTCGCCATATTTATCACAACCTTTCGGCCGTTGTAACCTCCGGCCTTCTTCAGGTGGTTGGAATGTCGAACTGAACCCTTTATTTCGCTCAGTAGGGTACACTGTGCTATTTCCAATTGCCCAGTCTAATGGCTGTCAGTTATCAGTTAATTCCCGTTTCCAATTTCTCCACCGACTTAAGAAAGTATTGAACTCATACACTTTGGATCCTGTCACTGGATCTGACTAACGCTTTTATCCACTGCGGGATGTGTCCTTGAGGACATCTGTGTGTGAATTTCATTAGACATGACACGTGGAACTAGAACAGTCTACCCCAGTGAGCGAAATAAAGGGTTCAGTTCGACATTCCAACCACCTGAAGAAGGCCGGACCGTACAACGGCCGAAACGTTGTGATAAAGATGTGAACAAAGATAGTCCGAATAATGAAAATAGTGTATATTGATAATTACTCAATGGAATAACAAAAATGGATTTTTTTGTACCCATACGACGAGACGGTTAGTCGAATCCATATTTACATTACACTTTGACAGTTGTCCTCGTTTTTCCTGTTATGGTTTTTTTATGCCTCCTCTTCTCTGTGCCATTTTTTTCAGTGCCACCCCTCTCTGTGTCGTTTTTTAAAGCCACCCACACTAATCTCCCCGTTAGTTTCTTCCATGCCTCTCTCTCTCTTCCTGTTAGTTTTCTGCATGCCTCTCTCTCTTCTTCTTAGTTTTCTTCATGCCTCTCTCTCTTCCTGTTAGTTTTCTCTATGCCTCTTTCTCTCTTCCTTTTAGTTTTCTTCATGCCTCTCTCTCTTCCTGTTAGTTTTCTCCATGCCTCTCTCTCTTCCTGTTAGTTTTCTCTATGCCTCTCTCTCTTCCTGTTAGTTTTCTTCATGCCTCTCTCACTTCCTGTTAGTTCTCTCCATGCCTCTCTTCCTGTTAGTTTTCTCTATGCCTCTCTCTCTTCCTGCTAGTTTTCTTCATGCCTCACTCTCTTCCTGTTAGTTTTCTCTATGCCTCTCTCTCTCTTCCTTTTAGTTTTCTTCATGCCTCTCTCTCTTCCTGTTAGTTTTCTTCATGCCTCTCTCACTTCCTGTTAGTTTTCTCCATGCCTCTCTCTCTTCCTGTTAGTTTTCTCTATGCCTCTCTCTCTTCCTGTTAGTTTTCTTCATGCCTCTCTCACTTCCTGTTAGTTTTCTCCATGCCTCTCTCTCTTCCTGTTAGTTTTCTCCATGCCTCTCTCTCTTCCTGTTAGTTTTCTTCATGCCTCTCTCTCTTCTTGTTAGTTTTCTCTATGCCTCTCTCTCTTTATGTTAGTTTTCTTCATGCCCCTCTCTCTTCCTGTTAGTTTTCTCCAAGCCTCTCTCTCTTCCTGTTAGTTTTCTTCATGTCTTTCTCTCTTCTTGTTAGTTTTCTCCATGACTCTCTCTCTCTCTCGTCATATTAATTTTTCCACGCCGGTTATTTCGGCTGTTGTGTCCTCAGGATTTCTTCATGTGATTATCGATCAGGGTAACCTTCAGGGAACTTCAAACTGAACACTTTATTTAATGAACATGGCTTGATTCTTCTCGTTCCACTGTGAATGTTTAGGGTTTTATTGTTTTCTCATTTCGTTCAGCTCGCTCTCTATTTCTACAAAAAACCGCACTGTCATCCTCAGGAATTGACTCACAAATATGATGTCACCAAACACAAAAGAAAGCTTTAATCAACTAGACCACTCTCAGGTGGAATAATTCCGATCTGCCCGCTGCTAATCTTCCGTGTCATGTTTGGTGTCTCTTTCTGCTGCCGATTTTCACTCTTGACTGCATTCAGTAACTATAACTCCTCATCCTAGAAATTCAATCAAAAATTATTCTAGCCACGTTTTGCTAGCCAGGCATAATGCTTCATAATAATAATAATATTCTTTGCTAACCTATCGAAACTGCTTCTCATTTATTTAACAATAAATTATAAGTAAGTTTTGTTGGCCGGACATGCGTATCTGCCATTAAGAACGTTTTCTTTTTCTGTCATTTTTCTGTCTTTAATATTTTATTGTTGATAACTTTGCGAAGAAAATTACATTCAGAATGGAAATTTTCTTAAGAACTATTTAAAGAAAGTTCAAGTTCAACAATAAAATTAACGTTAATATGTTTCCTATTCCCTGAGTGCAATGAAAGTCAATATTGCTTTTCATTTTATTTTGTTCGGCTTAAGCAAAACAACAAAAATTGAAAAAAAAAGAAAATTTGAAAAAAAAAACAAAAAAAACAATCAGAAAACAACAGAGGCAAGAAATCTATATTTAAATGGTTTACTGTTTTATGCACGGGGAGTTTTTCGGTTCCGAAACTCAAAGCGGAACAACGCTACCCAAGTTCAGGTTAAATGAAAGTTAACAATATACAGCCCCTATATATATATATATATATATATATATATATATATATATATACATACATATACATACATGCATATATATACATACATGCATATATATATACATGCATATATATATATATATATATATATATATATATATATATATGTGCATACATATATATATATATACATACATACATATATACATACATACATATACATACATATATATATATACATACATGCATACATATATTTATATATATATTTACTCGCACACACACACACACATATATATATATATTCACTCGTCACATGTATGCCCATATAGATACTTTCTTGCACATACATATACTCACATTTTCACCCACTCATACACAAATATATACATAGATGTGTGTGATTTTGTCTGTCGGACGAATGATTACAGCGCTGAGAATCTAAAAAATTGACAATGTCATGAATATTAATGTGATTTAAAGGCAAAAATGTTCAAATTTGGTCTCTTTTTTTCCTTTTATCTTTGTGTTGGTTTGGAAATCAAAT